GAAGGAAGTGTCCTAAAGTGAGCCCTCCTCAGTTGCCTGCCCTTTGGATAGAAAATCCCACCCTTTGGGGTCCCTGTACTCTTAGGCAAAATTGCAAGGTTTAGATCATCAGAGTCAGGCCAGCACATCTTTTCAAGAGTAAGCTCACAATTTTGGTGTTAATAGGATCTTAATTCTATGTAGGTCCATTTGAAAAGTGACACAGAAAACAGAGGAATGAAACCTAATCATATGCTGAAATTTTCCATCTACACTTAGAAGCACAGAAAATGCATTTTTTTTTTTTTTTTTTTTTTTAGGTTTATGAGGCTACCCTCCAGCATCAGAATATTGATTTCTCAATCTTACAAAAGCTCTTCGTATTGTGCCTGCACCACAGATTTACACTGGTGTAACTCTTGTCAGACATCATCTTAGCTTTATGAATAAATAAAACTATGCTCTGGGGAAACATTGATTTAAAAGGAAAAATCAATACCCATCTAGCATGTGATAGACTTGAGCTTTAAGGCTAGTTATCCCCAAAGTACAATGCAATATTAAGTGTAAAAAACACACTTTTTAATTCCTAATACAAGATAAAGAGGGTATATGAGTTTGGCAGGAAGATGTCTGCCTTCCCTAGTTGTCTATACAGATTCCCTTCTTCCTTTTAAAAATAGTTTGTTGACACTTCAATAAAGGGAAAAGCGAAAGAGAAAAATCACCAGAATCAATGGTGGCAAGATCTTGATAATTTGTGAATACAGGCTGTGAATATATGAGAACTCACTGTATAATTAATTAACTCATGTTTGCAAAATTTTTCATAATAAAAATTTAAAAAATACAGTGTTTGCTTGAAGAAAACTCTTTAAGTCTAATATTAACCAAGATGTTGACAATGAGTCTCTGGGTAATGATCTCATAAAGAAACTTCTTTTCTTCCTTGGGAGTTCTGTGTATTCCAACTTTCTGTAATGACTATGTCTATCGCTCTTATAAAAATCAGAAAACACACACCAGTAAGGGTAGGGAAGGATAGCAAAAAACAAAGAACAGATTAATTAGGCTGACAGCAGTCTATTTTTTTTTAAAGATTTATTTTATTTATTTATATAAGCACTGTGTACGGTCAGAAGCGCGGGAGGGTGAGAGAATTCACCAGAGCCAGAGTGGAGAGCAGAACAGGCAGACTGGCAAAGTACACTGCTGAGGGGAGCAGTGGGCGGCAGGAGAGGTCTATGTGCCATGTGGGACCCTCGTCTGGTGGCTGGGGATCGAACCGGCGCTGCAGAGGCTGCAGGCAGCTTTGCAACCCAGCGCTCACCCGCTGTGCCACCGGGGAGACCCTGCTGTCTATTTTGTTGACTACTAGCCTAGAGAGAGCTGAGATCTATGTTATAACTCAGGTTTATATTCAACTCTTCTTGCTGCTCTTGGACATTTTTCAGGGTACAAGCTGGCTGCTATTAAAATGGACTAATTAAAAAAATAGGAAGCTAACAGCTTATTTTGAAATTATCTTCTCAAGTCAAAGATCAAACGAGAGACAAAAGCTGGCTAAATTCATCATTTCCTTGGCTCTGAAATCATCTTACAACCTAAGACCATTTTCACAGTGGAAATAGTTGTTAAAAGTTCTGACAGGCTTGTGGTAACCTTTGATTATAAAGCCACTCCAGAAATCCAAGGCTTTTGCTTTCTTGCTCAGATTTGACTTGAATTAAAAAAGGAATCCCATTATTTTTCCTTAGTGCCTCAGAGACACAGTTCATGGCTAATTGTGCAAACTGTGGCCTTTCCAGAAGCATACTCATTTGTTGATTTGCAGTAGGTGCTCATGACCCATCAGATAGTTACTGATGCTGTCTCTTCTCATCGACTGTCTTTTGAAAGTGGAAAGAAAAACTCTGGAAATTTGAAACACACTTTCCAGACAAAGGCACATTAGAAGCCTGAAAATGGGTTGGGATTATTATATTTTTCAATACTAAATTCAAATATCATTGAAGTAACTACCATTATCACCAAAGTTGGTGAGGATATTGGGTGATCTATTTCCAAGGTGGAAATGATATACAATTACACACTCCAAAGTAGATAGCCACTGTGTTAGTAGTACTGTCAGCAGAATGGGGGAGGGGCCAGAAATTGGTTTTGGTTGTTTCTCTTTAATGCCTGGTTACTAAAAGCAAAATAGAAAGCAAAACATTACTGTTGTGAAAAATGCTTATATTTAGTCAGAGAAAAAGCACAGCTTGAGATTACTTTTCACAAATACTATCTTCTTCTTTATTACAGTTCCAGAGATGCATTCATTTAAAGAAATTAGAGCATCCACTGTGTGTTACTATGTGCAAGGCATTTATTGGATGTTGTAGATACAAAAACAGTAAGATCCAAATCTTGCCCTCAAACTTAGTATCTATAGGAGGGTTAGACATATAAGTGAATAATTAAATACAGTGTGATTAGAGATAAAATTGAAGAACTGGGAAGCCTAGCTACACATAGAGGGTTCAGGGACGGTTTCTCAGAGCAGATGAAAATTGAAGACACATTGGAATTTATCAAGAAGAAAGGGGTAAGGAATTCTCCAGTGCGAAGGCAGCACGAGCAGGTACATGTTCCTCAGTGGGCATGATGTATTGGGACACTTGCAGGAATTTGTCCTGAAGAAGCACAGGCTCCAGAGCAGGGAAGGTGGTCAGGGCCTGGGAGGTGCCCACAGTGCTGACGGTGGAGGTTGACATGGAGGTGTTTGGATCTATTTTTTCTTTCATTAATTTTTAAAATTATATTTATTTATTCTCTTACATCATTGTGCATTATTGGACAGTATTTGATTTTTCCCCTCAGCTGTAGTCCCTGTGGGTTTCCCACCACCATAGCACCCATGATCTATCACCACAGTGCCTTGTGGCCTCCCCTCCCCTGTTTTAATCCTTCCTCTTGCCCCTCCCGTGTTGTATGCCTCAGATCTATGGTCAGCTTGCACATTGTGTCTTTTTCCCATGCTCTGTTTGGTTTCCCTATATTCCAAATACAAGTGAAACCATCCGATATTTATCTTTTTCCTTCTGACTTATCTCTCTTAGCATGTTTGGATCTATTTTCAAGGTTGCCAGGGACCATGGGAGTCAGTGGGTGGAAAATCACCTTCTAAACTGGAGACCACATACCTAGAATGGGGACAGTCTGTTGGAAGAGAGCTATATATTATGTCATCCCCCAACTAGCGACAGGCAGGAGCAGAGCTAATGAAGGCCAGAACTAAATAGTGGCAGAGGGAGAGAGAGGAAGGTCCAAAAGAGATTTATAACAAACTTGACATCACCAAGCACTGGTCACTGTTCTTAGAACTTTATTCTTTTAAATCCAAAATCTACTGTGGACTGATGCAGAGGGTGAAGCAATGTCAGGGAATTTCTGGCTTGAGTTATAGGATTGACAGTGACACCTTTAATTAAAATATTGATTCTAGGAGAAGGAATCAGTTGTGATTAGAGGACAAGTGAAGGGGAAGAGTGAAGACAGCTTTACTACATACAAATTTATTTTGAGAACAGCTTCAGAAATACAAAGGAAAATAACCAAACACTGGAGTCAGGCATTTAGCAGAGGGCAAAATGGAAATTCTGTGTTAATTTTTTTTAAATACAGAACAATATCCCTAAAGTGAAATTAAGGATCAGACACATGTAAAGAAGCATCACACAATACAATGCTTTCCAGAAACTTAAGAGGACTGTGATTCCACTACAGGAACATCTTACGCCTATTTTCAAGTACATAGATTTGTATGTTAAATCTTAACTCCCCATCTGGGAAATGCTCTACATTTTAGGCCCACAAACAAAATGTGAAAAACAAGCAGATTTAGTGCAAATGGAAATGCATTTACGAAAACACTATTTAATCCCTGAAAGGAGATTCTTGTCATATGTTGGGAGAGGAGAGGAAGGCATTTTTGGAGTGTAGATAATCAAAGCTCTTAATGCACTGATTCTTTAGACTAAATTAACTGACAAAAGAAAGGCTGTTTTCCAAGATCTACAGTTCTGTTTAGAAAGACCTCAGAGGAGAACCAAATGACCCTGACATAGTTCCCTGCTCTTCTAAGAGGAAAGGGTTACTCTGGCAAGAGAAGGAATTTCTCAACAAGTAGAAGGAAAGATTTAATTAAAAGACAGTGGCCTATTTTATAAGATTCCTTCTCTGAATAGATTGGGACCATCCAGGCCAGATGTACTCCTTTCTTTCCAGTTCATAGAGGAATTGGATAATGATGTATAATGATTAGAGGTCAGTGAGATCACAGGGCCTGAGGTCTGTAAATCTTTAGAATGGGTGGACATAGCAATTTAAAGTCTAGAATTCATTATAAAAATTGATAACCATATAGTAAACTAATTGCTAAAACCAATCTAGGATGTCTCTGTGGTAATTTCTCATTCATTCAGGTCGGGCTAATTTTTTTTCTGGAATTCATTCTCTTCAAAGATGATCCAAGGTCACTGGGAATTTTTTCACATGACTTTATTAAAAGCACTACATGAGATTACAAATACCACTAATGATAACACAAACACAGCCTCATATATTTTGGTGGTGGTGGTGAGCATTGTGACATTTCATTAATCCCTCTATGAAACCCATGAGGCTACTCAATTGCTATTCCCATCTCAAAGACAGGGACACAAATTGAGAAAGGATAGGTATTTTGCCCAATTGCATGCAGGCATTACAAAGCAGAGGCTGGGGTTTTGCTTGTCACTGACCAAATTATACAGCAAGTTGTAAGACTGTTGGCATCTCAGTTTCTGTGGCCAAGCCCACAGCGCTCACTTCAAAACTGGACTAGTTAATACCCTTGAGATTTCTCAGTTTCAAAGCTGTATGCCTACAGTTTTACAACTCTAGTGGAGCTCCCAAATAAACTATGGTTGCCTGTACAATCTCAAGTTTAAAGCAAGTTTGAGTAAGTGAGAATGTAGAATAAAGAGAGAAGTCAATACCTTGAAATCACTCTTTCCCAGCTCTGAAGCTGCATCCAACTGCTGAAATAAGAATGACCATGTGTTTTCTGCAAAAGAAGCAAAATAGGAAATAATTTCAATACTCTACTCTGAACTGGAGAAAAACTGCAATTTTGTTTTCATATTCTTAATATATATTTAACGTGTGGAGCAATAAAGAAAGTAACTAATAAACAATTATTTAAAGACCTTAGCACTTAAATACTATTTACAAGAGAATGCTGGAAAAATAAAAGTTAAAGCTTGCTCTTAAAATATTCACACACCATATATCATTCCAAAATCGTAAATATAAAAAAGGAAAAATGACAGCATTAGTCACCTGTGCTTTCAATGTTTAACAATTAATTATGCTCATGCTTCACTTTTTACACACTGCCTTATTCCACCTCTTATAAGACACTGCCAGTAACTATGGGTTGACACCACATACCTCAAACATTGACACTTTGATTTGTGCAAGTTATTATGGAGTGAAACAAACAAAGATAGCTTCATACTTCCAGAAGATGACAGCCTGTCAGAAAAAAAGATGGCTGGAACAAACCTGTACAGAACTAGGTGATAATTGTTATAATAGATTTAGCTATACTACTTCACGTCTTCCTCTTGAAACACACTATATTTTTTGCTAGCATGATGTCCTATGGCTAGAATAAAGCTGTATCTTATAAAGATCTCTTCCTCTGAGAGGAAGTGTGATTCAAGTTTAAGGAATGTAATCTCAAATCTCAAATTTTGTTTTTGTAGACTGTGGATCTAAGAAGGCATCTTAAAATCGCTGAGTGGCAGCAAAAATCATTGGTAAAAAGAATGACCTGATAACTAGAGAAGTATATTCTCAGAAAGAAATGCACTTCAAGTTCCAGTGAGATAAACCAATATAAATATTTTCGTTTTTGGTAAAGTTTAAAAAGGAAAAGCGCAAACTATTTCTTTCTTTTTTTTTTTAATACAACAGCTGTGGTACAGGCCAGAGGTGTGAAGGGTGAGAGGATTCACCAGAGTGGGGGAACAGAACAGGCAGATGGACTGCTGCGGGGAGCAGCGGGCAAGTCAGGAGAGGTCTGCTGTGCCATGTGGGTAGCTCCCGGGCCCACTGGGGATCAATTTCGTGCTGCAGAGGCTGTGGACATTACACACAGCTTCACAGGCTGTGTCTTAACCCCTTGCGCCACCAGGGAGGTCCCAGAACAAACTATTTCTTAGAAGGAAATGAAAAGCAAAGCAATACTAGAGAAGACCAAAGAGAAATAGTAAAGTTGACAAGCAAGGCAAAGGTCTCTCCATGACCTGCCATATTAGACTTCCCAGGGGCAGCAAGACAAGAGCTCTCCAGTCCCTATTACTCCAGTTGGGCACTTTGTCCAAGGATGTGCTGGATGTGAGCTCCAAGAGAAAAGTACAGTAGACGGTGAAGGAGAATTACCTAATTGGAGAGGCCGGAAAAGGGTAAAGATAACTTTTGCCAAGAGTTGACTTGTACTTTCAAGATACAGAGGTAATGGAAATTCTTTTATTACCATTTGCTGGGAAATTCCCCATTCAGAACTGAGCATTACAGTTCAGCGGCACTGTGGGTTCTGGAAGGTTTCCACACCAGCCTGAAAGCCCATCATTTATAAAACAGGAAGATGTGCTTCAAGCTCTAAATTACCACATCAGAAATAAGTATTTGGGACTAGACTCTGATCAAAATGGAGAAATAATTATTTTGAGATGCTGTTAACCCTGTCAAACACTTAGTAATAAACCTCTGTGCTATACAAAAGTGAAGATGATAAGGTCAACCCCAGAAGGCGAGGTTACATTATATGCAATACAGAGGGACAGGACAGCAATGACAGAGGAACGTACAGGTTGTGAGTACCGTACAGAAAGATCAAGAGGGCCCCGCACATACAGCTCTCCACCACTCGTGGGATAAAATCCAAGCCACTTGACATAGTTGACAAGCTCCCAGCATTGGCGCCTGCCAGCCTGCCCACTGTCATATCTTATCGTCTGTCTCAAGATCTTTACCTCCCACCCCTAGTTCTCCATGCTTTTGCTGAAGTTATTTTTTTTTAAATAAGAAGCTAAACAATTAATTTGGAAATGAACATCTAGAAAAGTACTTGTTTTGTTAAGCTGGAAACCATATGCTCATTAACAGTCAATGGATCCCCAGCCCCTGCTAGGTGGGTCTGTCAACTTTTCCCAACCTGGGTCCTCAGCCTGGCACATCATCCTTCTCATTCTTCTCATTTTACTTACAGTCCATTGAACAAATAAACTAAACATCAACATAAAGTCCAGGGCACTGGCATTTTGGGCATTTGAGCCTGAATTCTTTGTTTTGAGGGGTTAGTATTCCCAGTTATGACACTCTTAAATGTCTCCAGACTGACAAGTCTCCTGAGGGCAAAATCACCCACTAGTTGAAAATCACTGGTCTAAAATGAGTGCTATTAAAACATAGTAGTAACATGTATATCCTTACTTTCATGTTATTCATAAAGCCTATAGTTTAGATGGCGACTCTCAGAAAGGGCACAGACAAGGGGGCAGAGGGAGGCACACGAATTCAGCACATGCTGTATGTGTGGCCTTGTATGAAGTCAGTCATCTTGTTTAATACTCATGAAACACTCGGTGCTTTCCCTCCCTAAATCAGAGCTTGCTCAAGACCTTGAAAGGTGATGATTTGGTATGTGCTGACAATGTTATTAAAAGCAAAACTCTTCCTAATAAAAATAAAATTATTCTAGACCTTTCCGGAGGCATTAGCATGCCTTTCTTTCACTACTCCACTTGTAAAGAACCACCTGCCCAGCTTCCTGTCCTTGAGCGTGAGCTCTGCTGCCCATTGTCATGGCGAGGGCCTCCGTTCTGTGACTTTGCAGGATAGTTCCTAAATGACATTAAGAGCATGTGGTTGTTCTCATAATGGGAAGCCCAAATGGGGTCATAGGCACGGTCAAAATATCCCCTTTCCTAAACTCACAGCACATTTAGCCTGCAGAATTTGTGACAGCTGCTAACTGGTTGCAGCTCTATGCCAGTGTCCCAAGTAGAGATAACAAGCTTTGCAGCCTCATGTGGGCAGAGGGGTTAAATCCTGACTTAAACTACTGACCTCCCTGAGAGTACTGAATGGGAGAAGAAAGGGACAGGAATTCTTGGGCAGAATTTCATGCTGCTCATTCTCCTTTCTGATCTCCCAAGTGCCTGGTGGACTCAATGATCTCTATTAAATTCATCACATTCAGTTCCAAGAGGGACCCCAAACAGTGACCTTCCGTATCCCTGTCTATTTAACAAGGGCCAGTGTCACTTTTGAAATACACTTGTTCATGTGTAGTTTTTGCTAGTTGGCTATTTCTGATACTGTTGCAATATAATCATTGTCTATTTCCTATGCAAAGACTTTCTTTAAGCAGACTCTCCATGTGCTGGCCACTGTTCTAGTTGGGGTTTCAATACGGACCAAGAGGACAAAATTCCCAGCCCACGTGGAGCTTTTTAGTGAAGATGGGAGACAAAACAGCCATCTGGCAAAAACAGTTATGATAATCACTGATGAAAAAACCAACTGAAGTCAGCTGGCACTAGGGGAAGTGGGAGTCGGGAAAGATCTCAACAAAAATGCTGGTGGAGTAGAGCCCTGAGGGAGGGTTGGGTGAGGGTGTGAGCATTCAGTGGCCAACTGTGAGCACTTGCACACACCAGAGAGTGGTGGGAAGGCAAGTGGGAAAGGGCTGGTCATGCTCGCCCCTGGATGTGGCCATCATGACAGCACCCCCCTGCAGAATCAGAGCCTATTCGGTGCCTACCAGTCATAGGGAAGGCCATGGCCATGGGCACACATAGGATATGTGGGCAGATCTAATAGAACTGGAGGAAATTCAAAGAAGGAAACTGAAGCAAGGTTATTCGCTACAAATAAGGATGGAGAAGGTGTCAGTGGAGGTTTGAGAGGATAGCAGAGTAGACAGATACCCTCCGCGAGAGGAAAATAGTGAAGGGACAGGGGAACCAGCAGCCCTAAAGCTACTAGGGGCCTGGCAAGACCCTTTCAAGGACCTAATAAGACCCTTGGGGGACTGTTCTCTAGTGGTGTGTGTTTCCTCAGCCACATTCACCAGCACAGTGAAGACGTGTAGTAGATAGAGTGCTGAGTTATGTGAGTGAGTGTAGTGAGGAAAGGAAATGGAGGAAGCTGGGGGTGCATGCAAAGGAATGTGATAAATAGACAATCTAAGGGGGTAACTGGGAAAGTAGAGCCGGAGCGGGTGATAGATTAGAAATTAGGAGGGTAAGTGGATGGTGTGTCCTGGTGGAGTCCGAGATGGGTGGAAGTTAAGCTTCCGAGGACTGAGAGAGGTGATCTAGCATAGGGTCTTTGGAGAGGGAGCAGTCAACCCAGGCACACTCCCTGAAGGTGGTACCTGGACCAGAAGCATCAGCAGCACTTGGAGACCTGAGAGAAATGCAGAAGCTCACATCTCGTGTCAGACCTACTGAATCAGAACCAACATAACAGGTGACACATAGCACACTAAATTTGAGGAAGAACCTGCTTATATTTCAGCCAAGTTGGCTCAACTTCAACTTGACCAGAAGCCACAAACCCTGATGGAAAGGTGCTACTGAATGGGTTTCTGAGGTTAGGGACTTCCCTGGGCCTCTCCTTCCCATCTTCTACTTTAAACAGCTCATTTTGGCTCCCTGGGTTTCCATTCAGCTGCCTCATGTGCTTGCTTTGTCCTGCCTTGCAGCCGTACAATACAGTTGGCAGGCTTTAGATTCCAGTTACCAAAGAATGTTGTCCTCCAAGCGTCTTGCTCACATTCCCGCCCTGTTAGGCAAACGGCATTTTCTCACTTCTTGAGACCGAATTCCAGATTATCCTCCATCCTCCATCCAATTTGTCAGATACTTAGTGCCCTCGACCCAGGCTGCATAATTCTGTGTGCCCACATAGATCCATTACAAGGCACTAATGCAAAATAATATAGTATTGTCGTTTGTGGTTTTTTAAAAGTTTGGCTTCCTGCTATAATAA